TATTTGAATACTTGTTTCTTATGAATGATTCCTTGATCGAGTGTGTCTAGATGATAGAATCCACTAGAAATCTTTACTTTGAATTGAAGAAAATATTTGAATAGTTGTTTCTTATGAATTATTCCTTGATCGAGTGTTTCGCGATACTACAATCAACTGGAAATCTTTGCGTTGAATTGAACGAAATATTCGAATAATTGTTTGCTATGAATTATTCCTTCATGCAGTGCTCCTCGATGATGTAATCAACTATAAATCTTTGCTTTTAATGCAACAAAATATTTGAATAGTTGTTTTTTATGAATATTTCCTTGATGGAGTAGTTCTTGATGATATAGTCAACTACAAATCTTTGCTTTGAATTAAACAAAATATTGAAATAGTTGTTTGCTATGAATATTTCCTTGATGGAGTGTTTCTCGATGATATAATCAACTACAAATCTTTGCTTTGAATTGAACAAAATATTTTAATAGATGTTTGGTAGGAATTGTTTTTTGATTGAATGTTCTTCGATGATATAATCAACTCCAAGTCTTTCCTTTGAATTGTACAAAATATCTGAATAGTTGTTTCTTATGGGTTATTCTTTGATCGACTGTTCCTGAATGATATAATCAACTTTAAATCTTGGCTATGAATCGAATAAAATATTCGAATAGTTGTTTCTTATGAATTATCCGTTGATCGTGTGTTCTTCGATGATATAGTCAACTGTAAGTCTTTACTTTGAATTGAAGAAAATATTTGAACAGTTGTTTACTATGATTCATTCCTGGATCCGGTGTTCGTCGATGACATAATCAACTCCAAATCTCTGCTCTGAATTGAACAAAATATTTGAACAGCTGTTTAGTATGAATTTTTCCTTGATGTAGTGTTCCTAAACGATATATTCAACTAGAAATCTTTGCTTTAGATTGAACAAAATATTTGTATAGTTGATTCTTATGAATTATTCTTTGATTCGGTGTTCCTTGATGATATAGTCAACTGGAAATCTTTGCTTTGAATTGAAGAAAATATTTGAATAGGTGTTTCATTTGAGTTATTGCTTGATCTAGTGTTGCTCGATGATATAATCAAGTAGAAATCGGTGAGATAAATGGAAGAAAGTATTTGAATAGTTGTTTACTATATATTATCCGTTGATCCAGTGTTGCTCAATGATATAATTAACTACAGAATCTTTGCTCTAATTGATGAAAATATTTGAATATCTGTTGGTTTGAGTTATTCATCATTAGCATATTTCAATAGACTAACGGCCATCTATCATTTCTTTGAAGTGAGAAGCATATTTGAATAAAATTTTTAAATCGGGTATGGTGTACTAATGTAGAGTGTTAATGACAACCCATCGAGCGAATCCCCCAGATAATGTATTCCATCATTCATATTTTCTTCCATGAGTTTATTATCATTTGCACTATTTTATTATCTTGAATTAATTCAATACTTTTGTGAAGTACGAACTAAAATAAGTTTTGAAGTATAGGGACGAAAATTTCGATTCTTCTCTCTCCATAAAGAGTGTGATAGGCGCTAGCTAGAGACCATCATCTAACGTGGCAGATGTTGTTGATATACGATCACGGACTGTATATCCAAAAACATCTTGTTATTATATATGAATCAATTCCTTATTACATTTCTGCAGAATTAAAAGGAGGATAAAGAGATGTGCCATTTTAATCACGCAGGCATTGCATTAATAGCGTCATTTTCTTTGTAGGACATATGGTATCAGCCCAACTACACGATTTTAAATGGGATGGTATCATCTATCATAATCATAATCATCAAACATTATCTAATATTTAGCTCCCTTGTTTATTTTCGCAAGTAGTTACTTTTTGTTTTTTTTATATTGTGAACCAGTTTACTTTTTTCTTTTATATACTTACAAATTTTTTCTTTTTATTCCTTTTCATATTTTTCTTAATTATTCATGCTAATAAAAATAAATAAAACATAATTCGTTTGATTTCTTGAAGACAACAACAAATATCTAGAATAATTATAGACAACGTGTCATTGGCTTTCGTTGCTCAAAATCATGCATTCAGCCAATTATTGTTTTATTGATGGGAGATTATTAGTGTTTAGAATATTTCTGCGATACAGCTAGAAGAGCTTTGAATTACCACGAACGAATTCAATCTTTTCAAGATAAGAGTCTCATCAGGTACTTTTATATGGTATTTTGATGTTCGGTTCAATTACAGAATAATGAATCTTTCCATGTTTCAAGCACAGCTTTAATATACGGGCACAATCTTATCCTATTGTCTGAAATCCGAGCATACGCTCCGTTCAAGCATCATATAAAGTGAACATTTGATAGATATCATCAAACATATTCTTAATTCATGATTAAAGCAAGTTTTTCACCTCAAACAACAGACCATCATAATAAAATTGGCTTGCTAAAATTTTCTTCAATCACCTTCAAAATTTAACAATTTCTATGAAAGTCTATTCTACAGAGTTCAACAAGAAATATGCACATCATATCATTTTGCAGAAAAAAAGAAATTAAAAGTTTCGAGTATTCGTTGTTCGTGTTAGTAGCTTTTGCAAGTACATCTATTAAATAAATAATAAGTAAAATAATGATTTTTTTCTTTTATTTATTGTACTGCATTATAATCCTACTTCAACAAAGTTTGAAGGGTGTAAAGATGTGGGAAATGGTGGGAGTGTTTATGAGTCCAGCAAACCTTTACAGGTTTCGAGAGTTCATAGGAAATTTAATTTAGCAAATTCAGATCACAACAAACGTCTGCGGAAAGCACATCGAAGGTATAAGCGATAGAAACGGTATAGCGATAAGCAGTATAGAGAAACAGTTCGCAGTGGACAGAAAAGGGGTCAGGGGCAATCTCTTTAGTTACCATAGCTAAAAACTTGATATTTTGTGTAATTGTGCTTTGAATCTGATGCTGATTATCAGTGCTTATCTAGCCTTTTGATTCGTAACGTGTCTGAAAAATCGGTTTTTGACTGAATTTTTCAACAAAACCTCATAGACTTCCTCAGATCATGTTGTACGTTGACTTTTGAGTTTTGACTTGAAACTTTGTACAAATAATATTCTCAATAGAACTAGCTCGTTCTGGAATTTTCAGGTTTTTGCGTTGCCTCTATCGTGAGATACGAATATAAGCACAAAAGACACCGCCGTATTTGGAAAAGTTGTCCAAATTCAATAGAATTTGGACTGATAGTAGAAGTAACTGAGATATATTCACCACTAAATTTTTGATTTTATACGCCTTATTGAAAAAAAGGTATAGTGAAAATCCATCTCCATGAAATTAATACAAAAATAGGAAAAATTTTGTTTAGTATGATTTCCAAAGGAGTCACCGATTTTTTAGATTCCATAGGATGCAAAAAAATTGCGTCATATGTAATTGGATAGAGCGTCGAATGCTCTACATTTTGATTCTTGTTTGAATATTTTCTGGCATTCATTGAAATATTTTAGAAATACGAGAAAACTGAAGACCTATATCTTTTTTTTTTACCAAAGTTTTTACTTTTTCATAAATAGTGAATTCTAGTAATGCAATCAGATCTCCATCGTGTAACGTTACTGCAAGATCAAACTTTCAAAAAAACTATGTCGTAATTTGGATTGTAATGGCTACAAATTCGAAGAAGCATGTATTTCGTCCGAAGAGAGATATGTCCATGTCAAGATCAAAAGGGTACTGATTATTATTCATTTTTCGTTTGGAAAAAAGAAAAAAAATTTCTCACTTGGAATCGATATTTGTTGAATTGAGACTAGATTTGAAGCCTTTATCACCATCAATAGTCAGATCAACGGAACTGCCCCAATCTTTCCTACTTTGGGGCGATGGGTAAAAAATCTGTTCTCCAAGGTACTGTGTGCTTCCAAAAAAACTAGAATTCTAACTGTTCATTCAATTTCTTTTTTTTTTGTATACGATATAGTACAATTTAAATCATTATACGAAACAAGCACATATTAAAAAAACAGTAATGAGTATAGGAAAGTTTTCGAAACAATAAAAACAACAAAACAATACTTTAACGTTGGTTTAGATCATACAGTATCACTAATTATTCTTTTCGGCCACTTCTCGTCTTTCATTAATTAAATCTCAGTCACATGCTTATTCTGTAATCTTTTAACTAATCAAAATAAGAAAATTTCGATTATTGGGGAGTGTTACATCTCAAACACTCCCACGGTCGGGGCGGCCCTGCTGATAGAGTATATAACCAAACTGATATGACAGAAAACATTTTTGTTAATTCAAGCCTTTCTTGTATCAGAAATATTTATGATGTTTGTCTATTTGTTTTAACTTGCTATTTCATGCAAGAACTTGTTATTATCTTATTTGTATAGAAACAAATTAAGTGAACAACTGAAGCTAGAATGATACATTTATGCAGAGTAATGCAATTAAACATATTCGAAAAGTCCGAAACACCAATCGGCTTGGTTTGATCAGCAGGCGACTTCATGATTTTTAGCCTGGCCTGCAGGCATTCTGATTCAAATTAGTACAGAAAAAAATAACCTGTCAGCAACTCTGATTTAGAAGAATTGCAGGAAAGAACCATCTTCAAAACAATCTTTTATATTCACACATGTAGATTACTGCAGTTACAATCCTTAAGCTTGCTAATATAAATCAAGTTGTTCAATAGTTGGAATGTACAAAACTTTTTCATCTTAAAAAAAAAACGACTTCAATTCTTTTACAATTATTTTCTCCTGCATGCTAACACTCGTGATCGTTCTGTGATTCACGAACTTTGCAAAAGAAAATAATAAAAAAAAAAGATATTTTACACGCACATACACACGCATACATAATCGTTTGTAATATAGAACATATACTCTTAAAACATTAAATACAAAATAAAAAAATACATAAGACTACTGTAGAGCAAAAGGAAGAAAAAAAGATGTATTTGTTGTTGTTATTAATTTTTTTCTTTCTTAGAATAAATCCTTATAGTTCAGTTACTGGAATAGTAGGCTGCAATCCGGATGATGATGATGCTGATGAATATGTTGTCATTGTTGATAATTTTCGATTTGGATCTGTATTATAATATCGATAATGAATCGATATAAGACTCTTACACCATGTCGTCGCATCTTGATCGGGATCAGTTAAATGATATGTTCGACCGGGCTAAAGATTAATATAAAGAATACAATTATTTTGTGAAACACAATCCAAAACGAGTGTCGAAATATAGGAAGTAAAAATTTGGACTCCCCTCTCCGACAAGACCATGACAGCAGGGAACTGTGGACCCACATTTTAGTGGACTCGGATCCGGTCGAGTCCAGATCTGAGATTTTTTCCATCAATATCTAGAAGCCTCTGTGCATATGAGCAAGTCAAGGATCAAGGTTTTAGCTCTTTATTAGCTACTCTCAAAAAAACAGTGAACGTACAGTTATTTCTTGTTATTCACTTTCCTATCAATTGATGCTTAGTAAATTAAAAGTTTTCGCTTAACTGAAAAGAGCATTATATTAAGAAAAAAGGAAATTGAGCAGTTAATTGATAAACAAAATCCTTCATTGAAAACTGTCAAACCAATAGTAACAACAAAATCTTCTGCTGTATGAAATGGTTTTATGACAAGTATTTTAGTAATGTCCCACACGACAGAGACCATGACACACGCTGATATACGATCAAAGATCATATATCAATAATATCTCATCATAGTATATAAACTACTTGCTTATTGCATTTTTTGGAAGATTAAGTGAAAAGAAATGTGTCCCAAAATAGATAGAATAAAACAATCTACATATAATCAGCAAGAGCAGTTACATCGTGTTTTATATTTTTGATCTCGCAGGGATTGTACTAAGAGCTTGTCTTTTTTTTCTTTTAATATGACATTTTCAAATGATATTTACCACATGAATGAGAAATGTTTTCATATCTTTCTGTTCAATACGTAAATCAGCTGTCCTAGAAAATTCAAATGAAAAAAAATTAAAAATTGAAAAACAAAAATTAATTAACTAATTAACATACCATGATATAGTTCCTTTTAATTCCATTGCATCAGGATCAACATAGAAAATAGCAGGACCTTCAGTGATAAGAAACATACGTCGTTTAGCAAATAAACCCTTTAAGAATAAAACAAAATAACAATTTCAAATACAATTATTAACTAAAAAAACAATATTTACCTTTTTCTTATCCAAAATTCCTTGTTTAATAATTAGATTATTTTGAACAAATTTATGATAGATATTCTTTGAAGCTTGTTCTGATAATGATAGAGTATGATCAGGTAATTGTAATCTAAATATATCAACTATTAGAATATATTGACGTAAAATGTAGTTTTATTCGAACGAAATTCTTTATTGATGAATTCATTATGAAAAATTCGTTGAATAAATAAAATTCTTTATTTGTTTTATCTTATAAAAAAAGAAATAATTACCTTCGAGCTGTAACAGGTGCATTATTATTAAAAGAACCGTTCGACGATGAAGGAGTGTACGAAGATGATCTCATACTTTGATCCGACAATGAATTTCGATTATCTGTGTCTTGTAAAGATGCACTTTCATTTGATAATGAAATACTCGATGAACCAGATATAATTGATGCTAATTCATCTGGAGCATCAGCAGCCATACGCAAACCAATTAAACGAGCTTCAACACGATCATCAAAACCTGATGACATTGTTTTAAGCTAAAATAATAAAGAATATGACAAAAAAAGAGAAGTAATAAAAATATCTCAAATAATAAAACTAAATATAGTAAAAAAATTTATTTTTATGAATCATTTCAAAAATGATTTTTATCCATGTTTTAATCTAACCAACAAAAATTCTTTTTATTAAAAGTACAACGTCAATGTTTATAAATAGTATTTTGTCTCTGTATAAAAGATTGAATTTCTTTTGCATCAGTAATTTGTTTGTCGAAGGAATAAACAGTGAAAAATAATACTCACACACATAAAATGACTCGATATACACAGTTAT